GCTTTAATCGAACCGAACATCGAGTAGCTCGTCGAACGTTTGGTTCGCTTGCAGCCCTAATTCCAAAAGTGCTTCAAGTCTTTGATTTAGACCTATGATGCACGGACACGGACACGGCGACACGGACACGACATGACACGGACACGGGATACGGTTTTTTTTTGAAAATATAGGACACGGGTACGACGCGGACACGACAATACATATATATATATCATATTAAAAATGATAAACAATAATAAATGAATGACATGATAACTTGTCTAGCTTATAATATAAAATATTTAGTACAAAACATCTATTATAACCACAAAAATATAAGCAAACAATCACTTACTACAAGATCAAGCATTCAAGCTTCAACTATTAGGATTAGTTTTAGAGGTTTGTTTTAGGCCTTCAATATCATCATCATTGAATATCACTGCTTTCAACTTTAGTTCAACAAGAGAAAGATTTATAATTGTGCAAAAAGAGATGAGATGAAAATACCTTCACTGCCAAAGAGAAATGAAAATGAGAATATTCGATAAATGGGTATTAAATGCAGGCGTTGATTTGGTGTTGTGGATAGGAAATAAGAAATTTAGCTTAAATCTCGCCAAATATAAGAAATTATATTTTTTAAAAAAATTATAAAATATTTAAGATACGCGTGTCCAATTTGTTTTTAATATTTTTTTAATCGGACACGTTTTCGGCGTGTCCGACACGTGTCAGAGGAGTGTCGGACGAGTGTCGGAAGAGTGTCGTGTTGGACACTACACGCCTCTTTGAGGAGAAGTATCGGTGCATCATAGCTAATGAATGACGTAAAGGTATGGAAGAAGAAAGAAGGGTAGAAGAGGAAGGTAATGGGGTTCAGAGTTGGACTTTTTTTAGCAACAAAAGAAAAAAAGGCATAAGAGATGATATCATTAGCCTCTGAAAGAAAAATAGTGTATTTGTGCTTGAAGTCTTAAATGCTGAATAGATTCCATTTTGTTTTTTCATATACCTTTTTTTTTTCTAAATTATAAATGATATTCTACTGTGGTTTAGGGATTTCCTTGTCCTTCAGGCCTTAGTGGGAAAGTTTTGTGAAGTCTTCCTTTGGTTATGGGTGGTTTCTTTTTCACTTTTTAGTGTTATCATTCATTTAAGTGGGAGAGGAAGAATTTGTTGCAGAACCGGGCCTAAAAATAAAGGTGATTATGTGATGATTTATTAATTTTTAACAACTGCAGATACTGCCACAAATTATTTGACCTTATGAAGCTTTGTTTTGCTTGTTATTTCTTCTCCTTCAGGGTTTCAATACGATTGATGCTGCAGCTACTTATGGTAGAAGAAAATTGTTACATAGACAGCCACCCTGCTTTTCAAGAGCATTTGTAGTTTAAGTGTTCTTGGTAGGGTAAGAGCCTTTGGTTAAGGGGTCTCTCTTTGTTTGCAGAATTAACTCACAAGCAAAGTTTAAAATTGCACAATTAGGTATTGATGCATTTTCCGTTCGTGAGGCGAGGCGCAAGCCTCAAGGCATTATGATGCGTGAGCCTCAAAGTCCAGTAATTGCGGAAATGAAAATAAATGTTACAAGTTATTTTTTATATAATATCAAAATAATATGTTAAACAATAACATATAAGTTTTTTGTTGAATTGTGCAGTAACAAATTGATATGCATATTAAAAAAATTTTTTTGCACATGATATAAAGTGACAAGTGATAAATTACGTGAAATGGAATTAAAATCCAAGAACAAAACAACATAAATATAAGAATTGCATAGAAATATCATATAACATTAAGTTTAACTTCAAATTCCTTTTGTCTCACTTCCTTACTCATCCACAGTTAATTCTTAAAGAAAGATAAAATAATTGTCAACAACTCAGAATTCATATGCACGGTCATCAGTGAGGAGTTTTTTATTGGAGTCATCATCATAACAAATTAGACTCTCCCCTATCTCATCTTGTGTAATCCAAGCCTCCCAATCTGCTTCATCATCATTCATTTAAGTCATCTTCATCTTTCATAAATATTTGTCATAACTATAATGATGAGAGTAATACTCCTAAATTTTTAGAGGAGGCAGTGGTGAAGCGCGGCTTTCAAGTGATTCGCGATGATGGCTATGACAGTAGTGGCTATGACAAAGGAGGTAGGCTAGAGGTCGAGGCAGTCGAGAGGAAGTTGTTGTGGCTCGGGGGTGCATTAAGGCATGATTTATTTGGGGCTTTAGTTTAGGATTTAGGTAAGTTTTAATAAAAAATTATATAAGTAAGTGACGCCAGCAAGGTGAGGCCCTTCGCAAGGCGGCCCTCGGCCAAGTTGAGACGCTAGCCTCATAAGAAGGTTCATGGTGTAAGCCTTGAGGCGTTTTTTAATGGAATTGCGCAAAGGTGAGCCTCATATTACGCAATTTTAAACAATGCTCACAATGGTTTCATAAGAGCCCTTTTGTCAAGTTTATCTAGAAAAAACATGTACTTGATTCAAATGTTTGGCATAAGATCATATCTTGATTCATAAGATGAGAATGGACGGAGTTCATATCTTGATTCAAATTTTTGGCATGGCTGACTTGTGCTATGTTGTGCTGTGATCTGCTACATTGTTGAATAGAGTGGATGATTTTTTGGCAAAATTATGTTAAGATTGCTGTCTAAATTGTTATAAGAATTGTGGTTTTTGAATTAAAAAAATGTTATAGGGCAGATATAGTTTATTGAATGGATGAAATTGATATTATTCTGAATTTCGTGCAATTATGCTATAATTATTTATTTTAATTATTATTGACTTAATTAATATTAAATAAAAAGCTAAAATTCTTATTTGATCTCTATTCCAAGAAAGTTATTTCTTAGCTTTCATATAACTGATTTTTTTTTCTCCTAGTTGTTGAACCAATTACCATAAAACTAGTACTGCTATTAAAAGAAGCAAATGCAGTCTAGTCAAAGAAGCAAGCTGACGAAAAAAAGCTAGCAATGTAGAACCTTGCCAGGAAGCAGAGAAGGGAAATAAAAATGGAGATATACAGGTCACTTAGGATAGATTTCATAAATAAATTAGTTAAAAAAACAATCTAGTGTAGCTAAGGCACGCTCCAAGATATATTGTCTTTGTTGCATTTAGAAGCAAAAATTATAAATGATGCATAGTTTTTCAAATTTATTCTTATTTCTGGATGTTCCTATTTTTCTTCCGGTTAGGAAAATAAGAAATTTCTAAAGTTCCTGTTACTTTCAAGTTATTATGCTTAGAATCAATAACGCTGATGTAAATATTCTTTCGCTGACATGATTGACCATGGCTTGAAACTTATATGAAATTATAATGCTTCAGGTCAAATCTAGTTCACAACGTGAGTTGCATAGATTCAAAAGCAGCCTTGAATCTTTACTTTGTTATGACAAGTCCATTCCAGAGGAAATTATCGAGAAACCAATTGGTTTATCTTTAAATAGAAGAGAAATAGGGAGCAACCCTCCATGCAGTGATTGTCAGGCTAAAGGTGCAATATTGTGTGTAACTTGCTCGGGTTCAGGCTTATATGTTGACTCCATACTTGAGAGTCAAGGAATTCTTGTGAAAGTCAAGTGTTTAGGTAAACATTTCATAATTTCATCATCAGTTTACCATTGCTATCATCATTATTTTTTTTAATATCTGTTTTATGAACTTCAGTCTTCTTGAGTATTAGAAGAATTAATTCTATTTGGATTTTCTCATATTCATGTTTACTTTCTAATCCTTCCACATCAATTATATTTTCGCATCTAGTGCATGTATTTCTCTTTTGTATGTGTATAAATCATATGAGTCTGTTTCTACAACCTTATCTTCAATAAGTATTAATTCCACATTAAAATTTTAATTTTGAACATGGTCTAAGCTAAATTAAGCAAAAGGAGTGCAATTTAAACTAAGTTTAAGGAGTAAATTCACCAAATCATTTTGCAGATTTATAGAAAATGCAATGGAGTGTCATTTTTAGTAATAATAGATCTAGCGGAGGGATTCAGACTTTGGGCGATCAAGTCATTAATTAGAGCACACGTTTTAGATATCTTGGGTCTATTGTTCAGAGTGATGGTGAAATAGATGGGATATTATTAGCAGAATTCAAGTTGGATGGTTGAAGTGGAGGAATGCATCGGGCTTGTTATGTGATAGAAAAGTCCCTCACAGGAAAATTCTATAAGATGGTAGTGAGATCTGCAATGCTTTATGGTGCAGAATGTTGGTCATTAAAAGAGAAGCATAATATTAAGTTAAGTGTTGCAGAGATGAGGATGCTCAGGTGGATGAGTGGTTTTACTCTTAAAGACAGGATACGAAATGAGCATATACGTGAAAATGTTAGAGTAGCTCCAATGGAAGATAAGGTTAGAGAGTCGCCTTAGATGGTTTGGTCACATAAAATGGCGGCCTTCTGATGACCCGATTAGGAAAGTAGATGTATTAGATTTGACTTATATTAAAAAAGGTAGAAGTAGATCTAAAAAGACTTGGTTAGAAAATATTAGAAATTACCTTTATTATATTTAGATAAGAATTTGACCCTTAACAGGATTGGAGAAAAAGGATTCATGTTGCCGTCCCCACATAATGGGATAAAGGCTTGTTTTTGTTGTTGTTGTATAGAAAACGAAAAATGGTTTTTGTTTTTCATAGAAAATCTAAAATAATTTTTTGTTTTCTTGAGAAAACCAAAAACCATTTTTGTTTTTTCAATTTAAAAAAAAAAAACCAAAACCATTATACAAGTTACATGTTAAAAGTAGGACTAAATATATAAATAGTTTAATAATATTGATAAATTTGTAATACACATTTTACCCTTCCCCTACAATGATGTTAAAAAGCTTGTTGATGGGCAACATGGTAATTGGTTGGATACTTGATTGATATATGTTGGGTTGAAAGGCATTCTTTCATCTTCTATTACGCTCCTTGTTAATAACCGAGCTCAACTCTAAAATCTGTCTTTATTTTTTCTGCATAATAGTCCAAGAAATGTTAGCTCATCACATCTAAGTATGATTTTGTGATAATTATTTATTATGGATGAATAATTCAAACCATCTAATTTTGTTTCTTTCCATTACCGTGAGTTATTGAAAGTAGCCATGCTATAAATGTTAAAAATGCAGGTTGTGGAGGCAGTGGAAACATTTTGTGTTCAAAATGTGGTGGGCGAGGTCATTCTGGGTTTAATTAAGCTTCTTGTTATAGCTTACCTTCCTTTGATGTGATTTTTTTTTAAATCTTTACCAAAAGGTCATATTTTGGTTTTTATGTCAATGCATTGAAGTGTTTGAACATTGAAGACTGTATCGTAGATAGCCATTATGATCAGTTTAGATGATCTTTCCTCATATCATTATATGGATGCTGTATTGAAACTAATGACAGCTTATTCTTGAGATTATGGTGATCTCTTTTTCTTGTAGTTCTTATGTCAACTGGTAGAAAAGAAGTTTAAACTATAAGAGTGGTTAGTTTTGCTATTTCTTTTTATGGTAACAATAAAATGCTGTAGTGACCTGCTTGTTCTATAAAGGAAAGATAGAAAAGTGTAACTCTTAGTGGTGAAGTGTGAAGAGAGGAAAATATAGATTTAGAGAGGGAAGAGAAGAAGAAGAAGATAGAAGGAAAAGAGGTAGAGTGGAAGAGACAGAAATTGAAGGGAGAGAAGAGAAGATATGGTAAAGCATTTATCTTGAAAGTGAAAATAGTCAATCAACTCTTCTTGTAGTAGATGGAGGTGGTGTGATCACAGATTTCATAGCATTCGGAGTGGTGAGAAGGATAAATTTTAATTGTACCATCAGTTATTGAGGCATTTTTCTTTTGTGAGGCGAGATGTAAGCCTCAAAATCAAAAAATTGCATAAAGTCAAAATGATAAATTTTTTATATACTATTGACTAATATAATATTCTAATACTATAAAATATAAAGAAGTACAATATATGAAGTGTCAAGTAATAAGATGTTTCAAATTAAAATAAAATTCAAACATCACAATAACAAGACAACATAAAATATAATTCAACGCCAAATCCTATCTTTACCAAATCACAATATCCTATTTATTAACTTGTAATTCAAAAAATAAATAACAATGACAAGAAATCACTAGCACTGTCATCACTAAGGGGGTCTTCATTTAAATCATTGTTATGATGAACTACTCTCTCCCCTTCCTCATCTCCTATGGAGTCCAATGTCTCCCAATTAGCTCCTTTCTCAATATCAGTTATCTTCCTCTTCCCTAAATATTTTTGAACAATATCAAAATGATTAATACATTAATAAAAGTTAAGTCTAAGAAAACTATATTATTTATATGCCTTTTTTTTATTTGTTCTTAAGTTGTGATGGATGTAGATGCTTTATGACCATCAAAGAAATTAATATTTAAATTTTCCTATAGTAATGTAGACGACATCACCTTCATTTCATCATTTATAAACCACTCATCATCATATGTCATATCCTCACAAATCAAAGGATCTTTGTCATCCTTTAACCCTTTTTTCTTCAAGTTTCTATCCCAGCATCTCCTATTGTACATAATGTACACTAGTGAATTCATCCTTAGTATTGGAAAATGATTTCTCCTCTTTATATGCACTTGATTGTAGGTGCTACAAATCCATTCACACCCAGATGAAGAACATGTTAATCTTGAAACATTCACAACAAAACACTATAATTCTAGAGTGCCATTACCAAACTAAAGCCACCACTCAACTAAGATTTACATAAATGAGTAAAGTTAATGCTCAAAGAACAACTTTTAAATAAATGAATAAAATAACAAATGAAAATGAAGTTACCTGGAGATGTTTGGAAATAGTGTCCTTTGCATGTTGTAATCCAAAATAACCTTCTTTATTCATAAAAGGAACCAATTATATGTAAGCATTTAATCTTTAAGTTGTATCAATTATCAGTCGATCCATGCAATGATACAATCCTAACTATATCTCAGGATTTGTAGACTTATCCTCTGCATATTGATACTAAGGGTTTATGTAATAGCATGCTGCATGTATGTGTCAATGAAGATTTAGCTCATACCTTTCGTCAATATTCCAAATTTCTCTATAACTTTCCTCTTCACCCTAAGTTGCAAGCAATTTTTTTTTTAGCTTCATCCATAGTATTGTAAGTGAAACTCATAGCAAGCTTCTTCTCTGCATCCACCATCATTAAAATTTGTACTAATGCTCTACTGGTTATGATGGCATACAAGAGGTTTTATCAAAATCTATCATTTAAAATAATCTTTCTAACCTCTTTCTCCTCCGCTTTCTTTGCCCATACACAACTCAACCACTGTATGGAGATAAACATACTATCAAAAGATAGTCTATTATCCAACATACTCTGTAATGTCAAGTAAGTGGTGATAAATCTTATTGATGTTGGCCTCAGAATTTTTTTCTTCAAAATTTTCTCATAAGAGCCAAAGAATGGTTATAAATAAACGTAGTTATCTTCTTTGCTTTAGTAAGTGCATTCTTGTGTTGAGGTAGCTCCCCAAGCTTCTCAAGAATGAGATCTATGTAATGTGCAATATATGGAGTCCAATACAAATGCTTCCTCTTCTCCATAAGTTTTTTTTCCTACAGCCTTGTAAGCACTGACATTATCTATTACCACTTGTACTACTAAATGTTCTTCAACCTACTCAACAACGTTGTCTAATAATCCAACGTCTAATAATCCCACGGTCCTGACGCCTGAAGGAGAAGTGTTGCTCTTCCACTCTTGAAGCTTCTTGATAGAAAGACCATTCGTTTGGGGTTTTTTACATGGTGAGATTTTGATCTTGAGCTCCTAGCTAGATAGTGTTGGTTAAGTATGAAGCAAATCATCAAACCGTCGGAATCTGGCCGTTGGGTTGACGATTTGCGATGTCCTAATCATTCCCATGAAGTTTGGTGTGAATCCACCGACGGGATCACTTAGATCATGCTGGAATAGCTAAATGGCCTCAGGAGATAACGGGAGATTGAAATCGTGAGCGTTGATTTAGATCAATGGTCAGTGTTCGTTGCCGCAGTTTCTAAACTGTTTAATCGTGTTCGTCTGATAGTTAATCTGACGACTAGGATTAACCCCGCGTTTACATGGTTAGTGCTAGTGATTGGCTTCCCAATCAGGGTGCGCCACACATAAAACTGTCGGCTGACTATGTAATTTCGGGTTAATTAAATGCAAAATTCTTGGGAAATTTCAAAAATTCTAATCTCTTAATCCACTTGACCATTTTAGGTGTTCTTAGGCTCATTGGAAAGATCTCAAAGAGATCTACAGAAGCCCTATAGTCCCAAGCCTTAATTGAATCTATATCATTGTTAATTTCAATTTGAACATTTTTCCTATTATTGCGTTTATGTGTTTTATTGAAGTCATTATGGCTTGGGACTTTGGGAGAGTTAATTTGGGCATGTCATTGACATGTTCAAATTTCCCCTCCCTTGCTTGAAGTATCTAAGGGAAAATTCTTGCCAATTTGGGTTCAAGGGTCATACCATGACCCTTGGATTTGAATTGGGTTTATGATCTTTCCAATGAGAATTAGGAGTTGATTTTTTGTGTGATGGTAATTCTTAGTATAAGGAGTTTAAGATCACTAATTTTGCCCCAATTCAACTCTAGGATATCTCTATAGGATTTTTCTAACGTGACTTAGAGGTCACCTTAGGTGGCTTGGTTAGCCACCTTAGTCAAGCCCACATGGGCTCAACTTCAAGGAGGTTGGACCTTGAGATCACATGATCTCATGGTCCAAGTATCACTGGATTTGGTGCCCATTTGGTCCACCAATTAGGAGCTTAAAAATTTCCTCTAGAATTGGCCTATAATCCTAAATAATTCACTAAAAATTCATATTAAGCCCAAAAAATTCATATAAGGACTCTAACGGACCCTAATTGAACTCTCATTTTATGAAAATTTAGAACTCTATAAGATAACCCTTAATTTCATTTTAATTTAATTTTTAAGAAAATCTAACAATTAAATCTAATAATTAATTAAAAATCTTTTAAAAAAAATTTAAACATTTGAAATTATCCCCTTGGGTCATTCTTGACATTTGGGGGTGATTCCATGCTGTTTGGAGTTGATTTGGTTCAAAAATGCCAAATCCTTCTTAATTAATCAAATTTAAAATTCAAATAATTAAGGAAACTTTAAAAAATTATAAGTAATTTCAGAAAAATCTAATTTAATCAAACTCAAAGGCACCCAATTAAAATTAAAATATAGTATTTTACCAAAATTTCAAACCTTTAAAATTTAGTCAAAGTCAAAAAGTCAATAATCCAATCAAACTCAAGCAAAATCAAGTCAAAAGTTCAAGAATTCATAACTTTCTCTAGAAAACTTCAAATTGAGCATACTAATAGTCTAATCACTCATCATAAGCTCTAGTATTTATTAAAAATCCTTAACTTCTTAATTGCTAGACGGGTTGTTAGGACATTAACTCTAGCTTTAGGTAACTCAGGCCTGCGAGTGATTTAATCAAACCCATTGCTAGTGATTTAGTCAAAATCAAGTCTAATCACTCATCTAACAATTAAATCTAATTTAATCAAACTCAAAAAGTTAACAATTAAATTAACTCTACTAATACTAGTTATCACTATGTAATCCAGGCCTGCGAGGTTATTAACTTAGCCCCAAGGAATGTGAAATAATCTTCACAGTCTCGATGAGCAACAAATGTGATAATCATTTAACATTTAAAACACATCCTAAAATCAACTTTAAAACTACTAATACTTAAACTCAAACTTAAATTTCTTAAGCCTTTCAACTAATCAAAACATTAGACAACTTTAACCAATTACCCGATATATGACATATCCAAACCTCACGGCCTGCTACATACACTTAGATTGGTTTGTTAGGACATTAACTCTAGCTTTAGGTTAGGCTGGTGTTTCTTTTTATTTCTGAGCTGTGTTAATTTGTATGCAAAATGAGCATTGATAGATTGTTGCTTAATATGTTGGATTCATTAATGATTATTTTTAATGCTTGTGGTGGCATCTTAGGTTAGATAACTTAGACATAGGTTCACTGTCACAAACATGTGCACTTCCTATTCGTCAGCTTAGGATTAGGTCTCCAGTCCCTTGTCCTACGAGGTCCCCTTGAATGAGATAACCCATGGTTGATAACAAGGATCCTTTGGTTGGCACTCGACTAAGTAGGCTAAGGACACCAATGAACCTGGGACGATGGACAACCATGGGATCTTGATCGAGGACGTCATACCCACTTGGTAGGTTAGTCTTCATCCTCACCTCTTGAGCATTCTCTTGATCTGGTGATTGGGAATATAAGTCCCAACTTTCTAATAAAATTTCAATTCATACATAAATATTTCTCTCTTTAAAATACTAAAGCCTAATACATAGTGTAA